CATTCCTGGCAAAACCTCCTCTTTGATAACGGCAACAGAACAAAATTCTTGTACCTTTTAAAACAAAAGATATTAAGGAGCAAACTTTGAAAAAGGCTCTGTAAAATCTATGAAGGAGGTTTCATATTTTGTGAGGGTTCAGATGTTTAAGCAGACAATGTAGTTTAAGCTGCTCTTGCAAAACTCCACTATCTACATGTTAATAAAGTAATACTTATGAAAAAAATATTCAAAGGATACTTTGAAAAACCCTCCCCTGAAAGCAAGCATATAGGACACTGGCCAAATATACTGATTACATAAAAAAACTGGATTACAGAGTGAAGACTCTATACCATTACCAGCAAGCAGGCCCGTATGTTTACAGACAAAATACAAATGTTACTTGCTCCTGTATTACCTTCGCTTTTTTTCACCGTGTTTATTCTGTTACATTTGCACATTAAAGTCAGGAATAATTTTTTGAACTGTAACTGCTACTGAACTGTTGTGTGTTATGAGCACTAACATAAGAAGAATTACGCATATAAAAAAACCCCAAAAGATACAGTTCCTGTGTTGAAAATACTGTGCTCTAATTAGGTGTTTCACGGTATTTTCCTGTTGCAGTCAACCAGTTCTTATATTTCTAAATCCCTCTGTCAGGTTTTCATATTTTAAAGAATCCTGGAACATTGTCTCTGCATTCAGAGTACTCAAACTTGTACTACTTGATTTTCACTGAAGAAAATGCACATAGCAATACCTTTCCACATTCTGTCTGTGCGTAAATGCAGGCTGATGATTTCTATTATATTCTTCCCGTGCTGCAAGCCTAGCTCCTGACACCTGCAAAATTGAGGCATATATAAAGTCACAAAGCAAACAGCAACACTCTGCATTGCAGATTAAATCTCAATATTAAACAAAAAGGGTGTGCCAAAGGTCTCATGTTTTAGTTTCTCTGCATGAAAAAATGATCACACTCTCTGGGTTGCAGCACGACTGCAGCACAGAGGCAGGCAGCATAACAGCAGGAGCCCCTTGCTGTGAATTTAAACTGAACAAAATAGATGGAAACGTTCCACTCTTCTACCACATGTAATACTCAGGAAAAAACTCCAAACAGGATTATGATGAAGACAGGACATATACTTTCCATTCATGCATGCCAGCAGTTGTGCTCCCTCTGAAGAACTATGAACTGATCCTGCACAACTGATGACAGTCAAAATGTGTCCCAAGGTGGGTTTTTTTCTGTGTGAGCATGACAGGTCTTCTCTAGGTCTTCTACCTTGTTCCCACAAAACATACTTCGTGATTTCACAGCTAACAGTTTCAAGACATTGGAATAACATTACGGAATTTATTTGTTTAAAGGGGGAGATACTACAATTCAATATAACAACAGACCCCACGATACAAGTGACATTCGAAAAGAAATTTCACTAGGAATACTATTAAAAATCTACAGAATCAAGTGACTAACCACCTAATTTTCTCTTCATGTAACTTTTCAGTAGTAACCAGCACAGTAATTAAATGCTTACGAGCCTGATTAAATCCCATCCTGCCAACCTGCTGAGAACATCTACAACACAAGAAAAAGTAACACAAAATGTAATGAACAAAAAACCATGGCAAGCTCTCCATGAATACAAATCAATTCCAGTTGTGTTACCCTACAATTACGTGACCAAAAGTCTTCAGAAGAAGATAAAATTGCTGTGGATACTGAGACTACTGAGAGTTACACTGACTTCCACCATCTCACTATTTTGTGCATCCCAGTGTTTGCCAGTATGCACCTGCTTTTCTCTACCTTAACCATGGAAGATGAGAACATCTTGGCATCAGAACTATCTTATTTCTTTCAGCATTTCATAGTATTGGCAAACTTCACAACCTGACTTCCTAAGTGTTTTGGCAATACAGTAACAAATGCCAGTTTTGTTAAAACATACACAGCCTTCCTTGAAAGTTCTCCTGACAGAAATAATGGCTCCACTAAGCACAAGCTATTAGATAAAGTTTACAAAACAGCAAGCACCCCAGATTTTAAATATATACTGCTCTAACAATTATGTAAAGACTAAGTAGAGAAAAACATCCCAACTATTTGCCATAGTACCAAGCAGTGATCCCTTACCTTCTCATCTTCCCACTGGAAAAAGCTGCAGTCCTTCCTATCCCTGCAAGCCGAACAGGCATAAAATCTTCTTCCCTCCTCTCTCCCCTGACTGGTCTTCACAAACAGAAGAGCAGGCCCTGAAGGAGAAGCGCAGTTCGCAACACGGTTACACGCAGGACACAACAGTTCGGCGCCTCCCGCCCGAGCGCCGGGCTCCCAGAGCGAACCCTTCCCAAGGGCCGCTGCGAAGCACAACTGGGACACCCAGGAAGCAGGAGACGCGCGGCCCAGACCTGCAGCCCCCGGGACCCGCGGCCACCCCCGCCAGGCC